TGAGCATACATGAACAAGAATTCTCTCAAGCCTTGAGCCAGGTAGCATGAGTGACTTGTGTGTAGGTCCCTCACCTTCAACATATTTTGCTAGAATTTGCTGACAAAGCTCCTCAAGCTCTTCGAAGGTTCCTGACAAATTCTTAACAAGACATGAGACTCTCATGTATTGTTTATGCACTAAAAAAAATGAAATTAAAAAGGGCTTAAACTTTCCATAATAAGTGATTACTCCCATGAGTAGAATGCTAAAGCAACTAAGAGATAATTTCTTAAATGTCAAGAAGAATAGCATGCATTTTAGAGCATCATCACAACCTTCATTAGACATATCACTAAGTCGAATGTAACTATGTGGTCATATATATCTGGTATTCCTTTATAAGATTTCAGAGATCAACCTCTGCAATCTCCCTTAGAAAAACATTTTGTAGTGGTTTTTTCATCTTTCATCCTTCCCTTATTCTTCCCCTCACACTTCTTGAATGATTGGATCTTTCATCATTAACATAAACAAGTTACATCATCCTACTTAGCAGGCTCTGATGGTAGAACCCTTCTTCTTCCCATTTTTAGAAACTAGCCTCCATGGACTATAGATCCAAATGATCCAGACAACAACTGAACTCTATTTGTAACTCTAGACACATGCTCCAACATTTTTTGAATAATTTTAATAATTTTTCTTCAACTCGTTTACCTGCTAGACAACAAAATCCAATGTACAATTCATGTTGAACTAAATTTCTCGTACCTGAACTACTTCTCTGTGCAAAACTTCATGAATAATCTATGGCCTGATCCACACACTTCGCTCCTTAGAAGATGTTGGATCAAGAAATTTCAGTGGTCTCAAACCACCTAGAGCCTTGGCAGAGTTCACAAAAGAAAAGAAAATTGAGAAGGTGACTCAGTAGTTCATCAGAGGAGATGATAAAGAGACAGAGAGTCCCCCTTCCCTTGGAATGAACTACTCTATTTATAAGCTTGAGAGTAACTACGCTCAAAGAAATTTACTTAAATATTTATACAAAGAAAATAATTATGACAACTTGAATCATCATGAAGTATGATATTGAGTTTGTTAGTGCAACTAATGTTATCGTAAGAAATAGAGGTGAGTTGACAAAAACTCGCTCTACTTCTTAGGTTAAAATGAATTGATTAATGTTGATGAGTTGCCAATCTGCATTTACTCATGATCTGTTTGAATACTCTTGAAATATTTTTTCTTGCATCGTGTGTCTCTGAGAGGCTCTTACATTTCATTAATCCATCAACATTTATTTAGATACACATATGAACCACCCAATTTCTATGTATTTACATATCTAACACCTAAACTTTACTTGTAACATAAATACCACCCAAGTCTTTTATATCACATTAGAAATACAACTATCTTAACTTTTAAAAAGTTATATGAACCTTTTCAAGCAATTGTAAGGTGCCATGTATCTAAACACTAAGGTATAGCTATTAGATATGTAAATACATAGGAATTGACTGGTATGTATGTAAATCATTATAAAACATATTCCAAGTGAAGAAGCTTTGTGTTATCCAAAACCATAAACATTTAACCACCTAGTTAATAATTGGTTGAAGATTGATCTATGAGCTACAACTAAGCAACACACTAGTCTAAGAACTTTGAGAAAAAAAAAGAAAAAAAAAAGAAAAAAAAATTACAAAATTTTCATTCACCATGTTCATTTCCTTTAAATAGCTCTAAAATATATAATATAACACAAAAAAATTTCTAGAGACGATCTCTTAAATCTTCAGAAGTCACTAGCTAAGGTATAAATGAGTTCATGCCATTGTCAAGGCAGTCTGCTACACTATGCCATTGCATTTGCTATCTAGATAAATACATCTTGATATTCTCTCAAAATCGAGATCAGTTTGTTTTTCAACACAAAAATTTCATCTTGTAGTTTCTCCAAATGCATTGAATTCCTCAACAACTTCTATTGTCTCCAATATGCTCCCCTTTTGCATGTTAATTTGTATGACATCCTCCTACATGCTCTTATAGCTTTCAGATAATAAATTCTTGATTGTGCTAGATCTCTTCGTATTGTGATCACCTATTTGCCTCTAGCAAATTTCACTATTATATGATATGTCGAAACGATAGTTTTGAACATGTTCAAGGTCGATTAGTCAAAAATACAGTCACATATAATAGTAGGATCTACTATCACAAAAGTTACCATTGTAGCAAACTGGATTTCCTCTTCCCTTTATGCTACAAGTAAAGTGATTATCCCGCATGATTCTTTTCTTTCACCTGGGAAGCCATACAACAATGTTGAAATCAACTCCCAGTACAAATTCCCCACATTCATCTTTTATAGTACCTTATTTAATAGAATGTTGGTTGAGGTGCCATAATTAATTAAAATCTCAATCTAATAGTTTGTAAATAATTTCGTGATCACAATTGTCTTGTTATATGGGATTTCATTCATGAGCAAATCTTCATCAGTGAAAAAGATTGAAGGTTGAGATGATACTATTGGCTTTGATGTATTAGCTAAATTTACCTCTTTTGCAAGTCATTTGAGGCTAAACTAGTAAGAAGCCTGAAGCTCATCTACTCCCAAATTTGATGGTACTACTTCTGTAATTTGAATAAATTGCACTAGAACAGGTTCACTCTGTTCTTTATCTATGGGCGCCTTCCCCCGTCGGCTAGTGTTTGTGTTATGTGCCACAAACACCTTTAAGTTCCATGCCTTGATCAAATCCTCAATTAAATTTACGAGGTGTCGACACTCCTCAGTGTCACAACCGTGATCTTGATAATATACACAATACTTGTTCGAGACACACAAGTGACCTTCTACCCTCATCGACACAGGTTTCTTAAGGAACTCCTTTTTTGAATGGCCTTAATAACCTCGACATTGAAACCCTTAGCAGGGTTATTGCGAGAATCAAATAACTAGGAGATAATGGCATCTTCTTCTGTCTTTTCTCCATCGGTCTCCTCTCAAATGAGTTATTCCTCTTCTCAGGGTGACCTATTCACTCTACAAAATTTCTCTGTGAATTCCTCTGACAAAAAGTACCACTCTGCCCCATCTGAATTTTTGGCAGACGTCTCTTAATCTTGTCGTTCTATCGATTCTTCACTACAATTGAAATTAACAACAAATTATACTCCTCAATGATTATGTGATTATTCATCAACTCTAAAAATTTAGTCGAGGTTTCCGAATGGCATAAGCTAAGAGCATACTTTAACGAGCATTCTATTAAACCTTGAGCCATTGTAGCATGAGTGACTGCCATCTTTAGTTCTTTCACCTTCAACATCTTCTTCTAGAATTGGGTGACAAAGCTGTTCATGCTCTCCCATGGCTCATGACAAATTCTCAACAATACATTAGAACTCTTATGTTGTATGCACTAACAAACCGTGCAATAAAAAAATGCACTTTTAACTCTTCATAAGAAGTGATCACTCATGTTTGAAGACTAAAATAGCATGCACTTCAAGGCATCATCAACCTTCAATAGACATATCACTGATTAGAATGAAGCCATGTGGTCAACATAATGTGATATTTTTTTGTAAGATTTCAAGGGTAAAATCTTAAATCTGCAGCATCCCTTGAAAAACCATTCTCCAGTGGTTATTTTCTATTTCTTCCTTCCCTTATTCTTCCCCTCGCACAACCTAAGTGAGTGGATTCTTCATCATCAAGATAATAAGCTATATCAACCTTCTCAACAAGCTCTGACGATAGAGCCCTTTTTGCTCTCACGATTGGCAACTAGCCTCTATAGACTACAGATCCAGATTCTTCATCATCAAGATATGACGATAGAGCCCTTTTTGCTCTTTTGCTCTCACGATTGGCAACTAGCCTCTATAGACTACAGATCCAGATTCTTCATCATCAAGATAATAAGCTATATCATCCTTCTCAACAAGCTATGACGATAGAGCCCTTTTTGCTCTCACAATTGGCAACTAGCCTCTATAGACTACAGATCTAGATGTTCCAAAAATTTGAACTCTAGGCACATGCTCCAACATTTCGTGATCATCGTCAACATTCGCTACTTCAACTTGTTTGTCTGTTGGACAACACACTCCTATACACTCCATGTTGATCAAATTTTTCATACCTTAATTGCTTCTACGTGCAAAGCTTCACGTCTTATATGTGACATGACCCAAGCTCAGTGCACCTTAGAGGATGTTAGATCTAGAAATGTTAGTGGTGTCACACTACCTAAGGCTTAGACAGAGCTCAAAAATAAAGGAAAATGGAGAAAATGACTAGGTAATTGATTAGAGGTGAAAAAGAGATTGAGCATCCCCCTACCTTTAAGACAAACTCCTCTATTTATAAAAAAGGGAGCGTTGAAAGAAAGTTACTTAAATAACCACACAAAATAAACAAATCCAGACTACTTGAATCATCATGAAGTTGATGATGTGCATGTTAAGGAAACTAATACTATTGTAAGAACTAGAGGTGAGCTAACAAGTACCCACTCTACTTGTCAAGTTAATGTGAGTATAGATTTTGTTAGGTTTAGGCGAACTGATCAAAGTCACTGAGCTGCCCATGATCTCATCAAATATTCTCAAAATATTCTTATTTCCATCACATGCCTGAGAAAGGCTCTTAATTCGTTGATCCGTAGGCATTTATTGATATACACAAACATACCACCCAATTCCTATGTATTTACAGAGGAACATGTAAGCTTTACTTCTAATATCAATACCACCCAAGTCTTCCATATCACATAAAAAATACCACCATCTTAAGTTTCAAAAAGTGAAATGAACCTTTCCATGCATTGATAAGGTGGCATGTATGTAAACACTGAAGTATAGATATGTAAATACATAGGATTTGAGTGGTATGTATGTAAATCTTCCTAAAACAAATTTCATGTGAAGAAGCATACATAAAAGTTCAATATCTTTGCTGTGTTATCCAAAATTATAAGGATTTAACCACCCATTCAATAATTTGATGAAGAGTGATCCATGCCATGCAACTAACCAACACACTAATATAAGAAATTTGGGGGGAAAAAAAGAACATTAATTACAAAATTTTCATTTACTGCGTTCATTTCCTTTAGATAGCTCTAAAATATACAATATTTAACAAGAAAAAAATTGCTGGAGGCACCCTCTCAATTTTTCAAAAGTCACTGGCTTAGATATAAATGAGTCCATGCCATTGTCAAGGCAGTCTGCTGCACTCTCTGCCATTGCATTTGCCGTCATCTGCAATAGATGGAAGAATGTAAGACACTGCTTCCATGAATATCAGTAGTTTGCTGAGAGGAAAATAATTGTATGTTTTAGTTGATATTTGTGTAATTTGATGTTTCAAGTTTGACGCTGAAAATATCATAAAATATATTGGGCATTTACATATATGCCACCCAATTCCTATATATTTACATATCTAACATCTAAACTTTACTTCTTACATTCATAAAACCCAATTCTTTCATATCACATAAGAAATACCACCATTTTGACTTTTAAGAAAGAAAAATACAGCTTTTCATGCATAAAAAAAGGTGGCATGTATGTTAGAATTAAAGTTTAGGTTTTAGATTTGTAAATAAATAGCCATTGAGTGGTATGTATGTAAAGCTTCCATATATTTAACAAAAACACAAAGACAATCTGCTACTACACTTCCATAGTAACAATTACTGTTACATTAAGCTAGTAAGACAATAAAATAAACACTGCTATGACCAAAATGAGAACTTTCAAAGCTAAGGAAGTGAGTGATGATAAAAAGGCAACAGATCTTTTAAGAGCTTAAATGAAATTATGCCAAAAAAACAGATCAAATTGTTTCAATAAAAAAATTTTCTTAAAGGGCTTGAGTTCTGCACAATTTTCTAAGCTAGGGAAGGTCATCATACTGTAAATAGTCATCTATATTAAAGTTTCAGTGATAATAGTTAATATTACATAGCATGATAATATAAATACATCAACTTAAACAATTGTAATGTTTCGGTTCAATAAAAAAGAGCTGATCAGTTTCTTTAGAGAACATAAGACTATATTAAATTTGTTATGATGGCCAAGTTTTTGGCAGAACTCTTCTTCAAAGAAATGAGTTCTTAACTTGACATGCAACGGAAAAAAACAACTAATTCCCTATTTTTACTAAAAACAAGCATCCCCTTTCCAGTTTCTGACTTCTTAAATAGAAGCAGAAAGCAACATGCATGCCCTTATAACCATACCCACCCTATAGATTAAATTGTTGATTAAAAAATAATTTTATAATAATGAGCACAGATTCAGCAAACAGAAAAGAAAAATGCATCAACAAAATAAAAAAATAAAAAAAAAACAAAAAAATTGTTCAGCTAGAATGGAATCTCACGCACCAACACTTTTTTTGAAGGGATATAAGAAAATTATACGGGTTTATTTGGAAACAATTTTATTTTTAAATACAAGTTTTTTAATGTATTTTTTTACATATTTTTATATTTTATTTCTAATAACAAATGAACATATTTTTTTAAGCATTCTAAATTTTAGTGGTTTTTAATGTTTTTAGAAAATCATATCTTAATCAAACATCCTAAACATGATTTGTTTCAAATTAAAACATAAAAAAAATAGAATACAACAACAACAAAAACAAGGAGCCTTCATCCCACTAAATGAAGTTGGCTACTTGAATCCTTTTTCACCATTGTCCAGTTGACAGTCACGCTTTCATTTAATTTTAATAAATTAAGATTATTTTTTATATAAGATGCCCAAGTCCTAGGTATACGTCTACTTTTTTTTTAAAATAAGTCAAATCTAAATATCTACTCTCTTAAGTGGGTCATCAGATGGACAATGATTAATGTTACCAAAGCATCTAAGGTGACTATCTAATTTTGTATGCCACTAGAGCTACTCCAACCCTTTCATGGACATATTCCTTTTCTATTTTGTCTCTAAGTGTAAAGTCACTCACACATCGGAGCGTTCTCATCTCAACAACACTTAATTTAATTTTACACTTCTCTTTTACAAACCAACATTCTGTGTTGTAATGTATTGCAAGTTTAAGTGATACTTTTCTATTACACGATAGGCCCGATGCATTCTTCCACTTCAACCATTCAAAATGAATTCTACTAATAACATTCTCATCCATATCACCATCACTTAGTACAACAGACCTGAGATATCTAAAACATTCACTGTTTTTAATGAGTTGATCACCCATTGTTAAAATCCCACCACTAGATCCACTACTATTAAGATTACATATCATGCATTTAGTTTTAGATTTATACAAATGAAAGCCTTTAGACTCTAAAGTAGACCTCCATAATTCTTTTTTTTTAACTCTCTCTCTCTAGACTTATCAAAAAAAATAATATCATTAGCAAAAAGCATGTACTAATGTACATCCTCCTGTAAAATGATCAATAAGAACATTCATAACAAAAGCAAAAAGATATGGGCTTAAAATACTTGGTTAATCCTCCATGCGTTCAAACACAAGTTACAACATTGGTATACAAATCATTAATGACTTGAAGATGAGCATTATCAACACATTTCTTTTCTAGAACTCTCCAAAATACTTCTCTTGAAACCATCTCATAAGTTTTTTTTCTAAATCAACAAAAATCTTATGTAGATTTTCCTTACTCTCTTTGTACTTCTCCATCAAACCTCTCAATTTATTGTTTCCATAGTAGGCTTGTCTGGAATTAATCCAAACTTATTTTGAAAAATTATTCCCATTAATTTAATTACTCTATAATTTGCAATCTCTTGTATGTCCCTTTTATTCTTTAAAATAGCAGTTAATAGACCCTTTATACTCATCAATCATCTTTTTAATTTTTAAAATAATATTACAAAGTTTAGTAAGTTAAGAATTCTCAGATCTCTTAAACATTTTTAAATTTCTATTTTAATACCCTCAGATTCTATTCTCTTTTCAGACTTTATTTTCTTTAAAGTCTTCTCAACTTTTATTTTACTATTGAGATGTTAGAAATAAAAAATATTATTATTATTTACAATATTAAGATCATTAAAGTCGATAGTATTTTTACAGCATTCGTTAAAAAGTTTATCAAAATATCTCACTCACCTATGTTGAATATCTTCATCTAAAAAAAAACTATTTTTTATTTTTATCATTAATATACTTGAACTAAATATTTAGTTTTCTCGTCTATTTACCTGCTAGTTTATAAATATATCTTTCACCCTCTTTAATATTTGATCTATTATAAAGCTCACTGAAGTAACATTTTCAATATTACAAATTATGTTCTGCTGCTTAGAGGCCGCATATTTTAAAAAATTTTCAAACTCTTACATCTAAACTAATTTTATAACAAAATTTCTTATTTTTAATTTTTCTTTGCACATTATATTTCTACCACAAACAATTTTTATTTATAAAAGTTTTTGCTTTTGAATTTTAAACATATTTTTTTAACTTGCTTAAGTACTCGCTACTTTATTTAATATAGTATTAATTTCTTCATGAAAATCTCAAATTTTAAAATCTTGAAGTTTAATACAAAAAAATATTTGCTTTGTAAGTATTCTCATCCAATTTTATGATAATATTTCATTGTATTTTTCAACTTTCAAATATTCATCTTAAAATCAATAATCAATAATAGGTACTTAAAAAACTTTTATTTGGAATGACCTTATAATTTTACAATCTCAATAATCAATTTTTCTCATAAGAAGATAATTAATTGGTCTTTTATTAGATCCATTCATATATGTGATAATATCTCTTTTTTCAAATAAAGTACTAGAAATAACAAATCATAACAACAACAAGCCTTCATCCCACTAAGTGGGTTCGGTTACATGAATATTTTCTCTCTATTGTGTCCTATTGGCTGTCATATTTTTATTTAATTCTAATAGATTATTATCATTTTTTATACAATATAGCCAAGTCCTTTTAGGTCTACCTCTGTCTATCTTAACATAAGTCAAATCTAAAACATGTACTCTCCTAACGGGATCATCAGATGGTCGACGTTTAATGTGACCAAAGCATCTAAGACGAATCTCTCTAATATTGTCCGCCACTGGAGCTACAATAATCCTATTACAGATATATTTATTTTGCATTTTGCCTCTCAGTGCCAAGCAACTCATCCATCTCAGCATTCTCATCTCAGCAAAACATAACTTTGTTTTATGATTCTCTTTTAAAGAACAACATTCTGCTCCATCAAGCATTGCAGGTCTCAGCATCATCTTATAAAATTTTTCTTTTAGTTTAAGCAATACATTTCTATCACAGAATAGTCTTGATGCATTCCTCCACTTCAACCAACCAACTTGAATTCTACTAAAAACATCCACATCTATATCACCATCACTTCGAACAATAGACCCAAGATATCTAAAACGTTCACACCTTTTAATGAGTTAATCACCCATAGTTACAATTCTGCCAATAGAGCTACTACTACTAAAATTACATTCCCTGTATTCAATTTTTTATCTATTCAAATGAAGGCCTTTAGACTCCAACGTAGACCTCCATAGTTCAAGTTTTTCCTAAACTTTTTCACTTATTCCCTTTTAATGAGTTAATCACCCATAGTTACAATTCTGCCAATAGAGCTACTACTACTAAAATTACATTCCCTGTATTCAATTTTTGATCTATTCAAATGAAGGCCTTTAAACTCCAACGTAGACCTCCATAGTTCAAGTTTTTCCTAAACTTTTTCTCTTATTCTTATCCAAAAGAATGATATCATCAGCAAAAAGCATACACCAAGGTTCATCCTCTTGTAAATGTCCAGTAAGAGCATCCATAACTAAAGCAAAAAAGATATCGGCTTAAAACCAATAATTGATGTAATCCAACTAAAATAAGAAAAAACTTGGTCAATCATCCCGTTCGAACACAAGTGATAACTTTAATATACATATCTTTAATGACTTGAATATAAGTCATATGAGCACTCATCTTCTCTGGAACTCTCCAAAAAAAAAACTTGGTCAATCATCCCGTTCGAACACAAGTAATAACTTTAAGATAACTTTAATATACATGTCTTTAATGACTTAAATATAAGTCATATGAGCACTCATCTTCTCTGGAACTCTCCAAAAAACTTCTTTTGGAACCTTATCGTAAGCTTTTATCTAAATCAATAAAAATCATATGTAGATCCTCTTTATTCTCTCTGTAATTCTCAATCAAACCTCTCAATAAATGTATAGCTTCCATAGTGAGCCTTTCCAACATAAATCCAAACTGATTATGAGAAATATTTGTATCACATTTTAACTTATGTTCAATTATCCTCTCCCATAATTTTAAAGTATGACATATCAACTTAATTCCTCTATAATTTGCACACTTTTGTGCAACCCCTTTATTCTTAAAAATGAGGACCAAAATATACTTCCTCCACCTCTCAGGCATCTATTTAGTTTTTAAGAGAATATTAAAGAGTTTAATAAGGCAAGAAACTCTCGAATCTCCTAAATATTCCACACTTAAATTGAGATATCTTCATGTCTTAATTTTCAACCTTGGTTTTCTTTAAAGTCTCCCCAACTTCTTTTTCACTAATGCGGCGGTAAAAATAAAACGTTTTATTATTATTAATAATATTAAAATCACTAAGGTCGATCATATTTTTATAAACTTCACTTACAATTTTATCAAAATAGCTCACCCACCTATGTTGAATATCTTCCTCTAAGAAAAGTAATTTTTTATTTTCATTTTTAATGCGTTTTACTTGAATTAAATATTTACTTTTCTTTTCTCTTTGTTTGGCAAGTTTATATAAATAGTTTTCACCCTTTTTAATAACTAATTTATTATAAAGATCACTATAAGGATAATTTTTAGCATTACAAATTGCTTTTTAGACTCCTTATGAACGCTTTATATTTTTCTGAATTCTCTAAGCTTTTACATTAAACCATAATTTTTATAACAATTCTTTTATTTTATTTTTTCAAGCACAATATTATTCCAACACAAACTATTATTATTTATAAAAAAATTTTCTTTTGATTCTTCAAGTACATTTTTTATCACTTGTTTAATAGTTTTTGTTGAACATATCAAATCTTGAAATCTTGAAGTTTGTCAAAATAATTTAATTTATGTCTTTTAGATTCCCCCATCTAATTCTACGCAATATTTTCTCGTATTATTTATCTTACAACTCTTCACCTTACAATCTATAATTAATAAATAATGTTGAGTACTTAAATTTTCACTTGGAATAACCTTACAATCTTTACACTCTAGACCATCTCTTTTTCACATAAGAATTTAATCAATTTGTATTTTATTAGATTCATTCTTAAAAGTAAGAATATGCTAATATATTTTTCAAAATAAATATTAGCAATAACAAAATCATACGCTAAAAAAAAATTTAATATGTTTCTACCTTCTTCATTAATCACTCTAAAACCGTGACAATAATGAATATTTTAAAATATTCTCTCTCTACCAATATGTCCATTTAACTTACCTCCAATAAATTTTTTTCTTCAATAGGTATCATTTGTATTGATTCTTCTAAGTTATTCCAAGATTTTTCTTTTGAATATATATATAAACCAACTTAAGAAGCATAAATACTTGTAGCATTAAAAATCTTAGTATTAAAAATAATCTTTATGGCTATAATTTTATCTCTAATTCTAATAATTTTTATGATATTAGCTTTCAAACTATTATCTATAATTACACATATCATTTTTGGTGTGGCTCTTACCAGACTACCAAAGTTTAAAACTTAAACTGTCAATCTCCTTAGTCTTTTCTCCAACCCATTTAGTTTCTAGAGTATATAAGATATTTATCTTATATGAACCATAATATCAATGAATCCCATTATTTTACCTGTGAGAGTATTTATATTTTAAGATCTTAACCTAATATTAGTTTCATAGACTAATATCTATATTCATATCCGTTTGCAATGTGGGAACTCTTGCTTATTTGACACGCCGATGTAGCAGCCCTTGCACACTTTTCACTTTATTTAGGTCACACAACGCGTTGCTTCCAAATGATGTCCTAGCATTTACACTAGGATTTAAAGGTTCATGTCCTTAGTTTTCGACAAATTTTATATTAGCTACCTTGCACACTTTTCACTTTATTTAGGTCACACAACACGTTGCTTCCAAATGATGCCCTAGCATTTACACAAGGATTTAAAGGTTTATGTCATTAGTTTTCGACAAATTTTATATTAGCTGTCGACTACCTAACACAACCCTCCACTTTTCGCATCCGGGTCTTGGGACCCGATAATAGCAATGTTAAGCTAAAATAAAATCCATTATCTATTATGACTCTCTTTCTTTATCAGTCGCTCCAAAATCATAGTCATCATTAATAATTCTAAAATCTTCTAACACTCTATCAACATGTTTATTTAAATCTGCATCAATAAAAACCTTTTTTTCAAGATGTATCATTCGTATTAGTTCTTCTAAGTCATTCTAAAATTTCTTTTTTTGAACAAATACTGTAAGTCTACTTAAGAGAGCATATGCACTTATAATATTAATAATCATAGTATCGAAAACAATCTTTAAAACTATAATTTTATTTTTAATTTAATTATTTTTTACAACATTATCTTTCAAACTTTTATTTATAATTACACTCACACTATTTCTAGTACGACTCATATCTGAAAACTAAAGTCTAAAACTTAAGTTATCAATCTTCTTAGTTTTTTCTCCAACACATTTAGTTTCTTGAATACATAATATATTTATCTATCTAAAAATCCTAAAATATATTAATTTCATTAATTTATCTGTGAGAGTACCTATATTTCATGTTTTTATCCTAAATATTAGTTTCATGGACTAACATTTTATTCCGCATCCATCCAAGATATGAGAACTCCTACTTACAAATACACTCAGGCGTCGGTGCAACAACCCTTGCACACTGTTTACTGTATTTAGGTCATACAATGAGCTACTTCTAGGAGAAACCCTTGCATTGACACAATGATTTAATGATTTGTCAGTTTTTCGACAAAAAAATTTACTCGGATGTCCACTAATGCAACTTTCAATTTTTTGCACCTCAAAATTGGGATTGTGGAATTGGTAATGTTGATAAACAAAATAGAATATCATAAAAAATAGAAAATAAGAAATAAACCAGATCCCAAACGGCCTTTAAAAAAATAGAGCTTCCAGTTAGGTTGGAGGAACTGCACCATAAGCAGGAAGACAAAGGAAACCAAAGCTCCTTGAGTCATAATTAAAATTCTAAGAAATAAACCGTAAAATAATGGCCTTCCGTGATGGTCGGGTTCCACATAGTAGATCATATGCGTCACAGATATTAATAAATTCGTAGCAGACAAGAAGCAAGGAGTAATTGTCCAATAGTAACTAAATTGATAATATTCAGACAAACCATGAAAGGAACATAAAAAATAAAAGAGTTCATGAGATACAATTTAGGAAGATTTACATGCATACCACTCAATTCCTATGTATTTAAATTTCTTACAGCTAAATTTCAATTTTTACAAATATACCAGCTTACCTATACAAGAAAGGGCGTACTTGGCTTTTTAAAAGTTAAATGGTGATATCTTTTATGTGATATGAAAGATTTGGTGGCATAAATATAAAAAATAAAGTTTAGGTGTTAGATGTGTAAATATATAGGGGATTGGATGGTATCTATGCAGATACCCCTATAATTTATCCTGAAATCAAAGACGAACAACTTACAGCGATGATCGTTGTCCTCTTCTCACACTTCTTCGGACCTATAGATATTGTTGGAGATTCCGGACATGTTACAGCAGCATCCCAGTAGCCATGTTTTTCGAAAAACCGTATATGTTTAGTAGCTTGCAGGCCATCCATCACTGGCATGCAAACATCCTGCACGATTTTAAGACTACACTAGTGAATTTAATTTAATCAATAGAATCTAAGATGAAGAATAGTACTTCAAAGTGATCAAAAAACAGTATGGGAAATCTCATCATCTTGCATCATAAACATTGTAAAAAATACATTTTTCTTTGATGTGATTAACTTAATGGTGGTATCTTTTATGTGCAATGAAGATTAAAAATTTAGTTCAGAATTTCTGTGAGAAAATAAGGCTTCTCCCATTTAAGGAGACAATCTGAATTTTGTACTATAAAAGGTTATTTCCACTTATGATGCAAATAAACTCTTGTCAATTTTAACAATAAGCATAAAGTGCGTAAAATCTTAAAAGGAGAGGAAAAGAAAAGAAAAAGCTTTCTCGGTGAATATAACTAAAAGCCAATTGGGTAATAACAATAAAATGGTGATAAAAAAAGTGCATAAGACAATTTATAAAACTGAAGTTTCGGTGTTAATTTGCTCTTGAAAGGAAGTAAAAATATAGATGTTTGAACTTTTCTTCTTTTTTTATTGTATAGAACATTGTCATTGTTGATCCCAAGCCTGGATGTAAAAAGTGGAGGGTTGCTTTAGGTAGTCGACAACCAGCGTAAAACTAGTCGAAAAAATCATGTCATGAATCCTTTTGATCTGTGTAAGTGTTAGGGCATCCCCTGGAAGCGACGTGTTGTATAGCCTGAATACAGTGAAAAGTGTGCAAGGGCCGTTAAACCGGCGTCTGGGTGTGTGTCAAATAAGCAAGGATTCCCACATTACGGACGGATGCGGGTAAAGAAGTTAGTTCATAAAACAAATGAAATTAATATTAGGATAGGATCTTGGAATATAGGTACTCTCAAATGATAAATTAATGGAATTAATTGATATTATGATTCATAGAAAGAATAATATATTATGTATTCAAGAAACTAAATTGGTTGGAGAAAAGGCTAAGGAGATTGATGACTTAGGTTTTGAACTTTGGCATTCTGGTAAGAGTCGCACTAGAAATGGTGTAGGTGTAATTATAGATAAGAGTTTGAAAGATAATGTTGTAAAAATTAATAGAGTGGGAGAAATAATTATAGCCCTTAAGATTACCATATTAAGATTTTTAATATTATAAGTACTTATGCTCCTCAAGTAGGTTTAGATCTAGGGTGTAAAGACAAATTTTGGAATGACTTGGAAGACTTAATGCAAATGATATTTCTTGAAGAAAATTTTTATTGGATGAGAATTAAATGGACATGTTGGTATTGTTGTTGTTGTAGTTGTTGTTGTTGTCCAAAGTGCAAAGAACATCCAGTGTGCAAGACACAAACAAATATAACCGACGTAATTTCTTAAAATCCTGAGCATAAGTAGGGAAAACAATTATTGATATCATAATAAAGAAAATTCATCCTAGTGTAGTTCAAAATGTTAACCTTAATAAAAGCCAAAGAACTGACAGAAATTTCCAAGACGCAAAGAATATCAAGCGGACAACTCATGTGACAAGGCACATATTTTACAGCATTAAAGTTTCTAAGAAATATTTTGCAGTACTAAACTATAGCGCACAATACATATTAACTCTCAAATAGAAACAATGTTTACAAGGTATTAACTCGTTTTAATGATGAAATGGAAAATGTAACAATGAATATAATCATTTATAGATATTCCAGTTGAGTAGATTATTTCCTTCCCTTCGATTTAAAAACATAATAGAAATTGTTACTAGTAATATCAAATTTATAATTACAAGATTCAAATCTAACCATGGAAATTTTATCTTGTGGAAAAACCAAATTATACAAAGAAGCAAATTTTAACCAAAGAATATATCAAATTTGCCAACTAATAATATAAAAACCATCAATTTTTGGTGATATCAAATTCTTTTAATAGTAAAAAATGGAATTTTGATCCTCACCATTAGAATAAGGTCATAGTGAGTCCGTTGAACAGCATAAATTGCCTCCAATCCATTATGCACGACATCTATCTTGTGACCCAGCTGCTTTAACATAGACTTTGCAACCATTATATTGATTCTGTTATCTTCGACAAGAAGAATCATAGGTTGTGAGCAAGTACTAGGAAATTTCGAACTCCCATTTGATGTAATCTTATCATTCTCTTCTTTTTCTAGCTTACACTGTTGACATGATTTCTCTGCTTCACAGATTTGATCTGATTTGTCCTCCAATACAGATCCTGATAGTGAACATGTTGCATATAAAACCTTATGTGCAATGTCTGAATCCAAATTCTCTTTTATGTTAAATATTTCTACTTCATTTTTATTATCTGGTGTAGTTCCCTGAGAAAATTCAGGCAGATCTTCCTCATTTGGTTTGCTACAGAAATTAGAATCTGAACCTGACTCTTCAAAAAAACCATTGTCTGCAATTGAAGCGCTCACTGTAGCAGTGTGCCGCAGATTAGATTTGCCAGCAGGGGAAGCACAGAAAGAGAAAGCATTACTCAGAGAGCATGTTTTGAATAGAAATGATCCATCGAGTTCATCAAAATCGGTAGCCCGTTTAGCTTCACAACGAGACATGGTAGATTCGCCATCCGAATCGTCTGAGCCATCTTGCTTTTGAAGAAGCTTACATGGCAATATAAATGTGAATGTTGAACCACAATTTACTTGGCTGGTTACTGTAAGACGTCCACCCATCAGCTCTACCTATCTCCAAAGTAACAAAGAGTTAGGGTAAAACAAGAAACCACTATAAAACCTAAATTTTACAAACAAACCACACAAATCCTAAGTATTTACATATCTAACCCCTAACATTTAATCTTTACGTACATCCAACCTTACCTATGTATGAAAGGGGCATTTTACTTTTTAAATGTTAAAATGGTGGAATTTTTTATGTGATATGAAAGATTTGGGTGGTATAAATGTAAAAATCAAAGTTTAGGTGTTACATAAATAAATAGAAATTAGGTGATATGTATGAAAATGAATAAAAATTTTACTCATCAAATAAAAACCAAAAAACAACAAATATAACGTAATTTGAAGCAAAAAAATTGATTGGAAGGCATCCTTCCTGGCATTTTTAATCTGCCTTAACTTGTTAGAGCACTGTTCCAAAGAGAACTGGGTAAACAAAAACAGAATACCGTTCCATAAAATTCAGCTTTCAGATATTGGGATCACCCACTTATTTTAAAATATGCTATAGCTGCATATAATGAAAATTCACCAATTTTTTCTCCTTCATTGGTTACAATAATATTGTGAACTCTTCTATACAGGATTTCTTAAATTCAACGCCCAATGGGTACAACTGTAGTAAATTTTGCGGTTAACACAATAGTGCACAGTTTATTTCTACATCAAGACAAAGTCGCGTGCAAAAGTTGCATTACTTATGAACTTACATACTTTTACAAACTATTGCAATGAATTATACAGAGAGCAATAACAACATATAATTAAAAAAATAAGAAGCCATTGGTGCATCATACCAGTTGTTTGCAAATCGCAAGTCCAAGTCCTGTTCCACCATATTTTCGTGCATGATCTGCGCTTACTTGCATATATCTCTTGAACAGTGAAGGCAATGCCTTTTCTATATGAAAAATAGGCAGCCGAAAGTTAGTATTCTGAGAAAAAAATTTAAAAAAATTAAAACATGTGAAAATTCCCATTTATAAAAATTTTAATAAGCATGCATCACCTGGTATTCCTATCCCAGTGTCATACACATCACAGTGAAGAAACACGATCTTTTCGCATGGCTGATGTTTCTCCACAAATGCCAAAGATGCTGATTCCGAAGCATTATTGCCATTACCACAATCTTCTTTGTCGTCACTACTATGTATTATTCCTTTATTACTGCATTTTTGGGATTTCAGAAAGTTCCCTTTTATAAAGCCAGAACGAGAACTCTCAGCAGGAGGAATTTGAGCTATTGAACGACCTGGATATTGTTCTGATAGCAACTGAAGGTTTACTCCCACTTTTCCTTTATGTGTGAACTTCACTGCGTTGCTGGAAAGAAATATGCAAATACATCCAGTTCAGTTAATAAGTGCAAAAACTGAGATGCTAAATTCATCTAACAATGCAATAGAGCTCCTAATTACAGCCATTTTGAAAATATAATAGTGACTACATCAAAGGGAAAGAAACGTGGGTTCAATACTGTATGATGTAAACTACTAAAATTAGCATTCTGAACATCATAAAGATCGTTACGGTTCATTCGTAACACGTCTCCTTTAACATAAATGTGCACTTAAATAATGTTACATTATGGCTATGACCATGTGAAACCATACCAATGATAGTTAAATGATGTGTGATAAAAATGAGAACATTAAAGTGAAAATGTGGTCAAATTAGAAATATAGATTAAAAATATTTATCAATAGAGAGACGTGATTAGAGTAGAGAGACAGTAGAAATAACATCCATTAAATATGAGGAAATAGAATAATTAGGATTTTGCATATGTATAATAAAATGTAGATTATGCGCCCATAAAACAAGCCTAATATATAACATGAACATTGTGTCCTCACATTTTGAAACAATAACGTTAACTAGTATAAGAAAGTTTATTTCACGCAAAAGAATTCTTTTCTAAGCATGCATTTCATGTCAAAGCAGGAGCTATGGCCTGCCAATTGTTTACAAAAGTTATCTAGCAAAATCTTTCAACCAAGACAACAAACGAAATTTTATGAATATCTGATAATGAATAACCAATTGTTTACAAATGATCTTAATTTATTAGGACTAAATCAAAATATAACACTAAATAGGATGCAATGGAGAAAAAGGATTCATGGTAGCCGACCCCACACCCCACATAGTGGGATTAAGGCTTTGTAGTTGTTGTTGTTGTATCTGATAAGTCATATATATTGAAATAAGCTTCTAGGTCAGATAACCAATCTAAAAATATGCAAAGGCCTAGTGTTCCATCAAAGGCAAGAAAAGGATGATAATCATTGCCATGATGTCTATTTGGTTATACATGCAATACTATTGATCCATAATGAAAAGAGAAAAGTTATGAAAATATGTAAAATGAAAAGATAAAATCAATGGAAATGCATGCCATGCATGTAATAAAAAAAAGGGAGTTTGATGGGAGAGATGAAGAGAGAAAGGAGAGTCAACTTATAGAAGGGAGAGAGAGAAAACGAATAGTTGCATAACTTTTTGGCCACGGCAGTTTGCAAAAATATTTACTGCTTCTATGTTTAAGCGCTATGAAATCATCCTTCTCGCCCTTAAAATAAGTATCCCTAATTCAATTTGAAAATATTATATGCAAATGACGGTAGAAATGAAAATTCAGACAAGAAAAATATGTGCCAAAAATAACTTTCAATTTCTAAATTATTTTTTTGTTAACCCAAATACTATTTTCACTATTTTTTACAAGGGAATCTAGAGAACTTTAAAATTTACTATTAATTATATTGCAATGACTTGTGTGAGTGTTAGTGGGATTTGTTTAATGTGGTTGCAAAATTAATTCTCAAGTCCAGTTTTATAATAGTAAGTTTAAAGTGACTAGATCTAAAGTTCGAAACATTTGTACAAGCTAAAGAACATGTCTTGAAGTGGCTTTTACCTAATTAAATTGGTTAGGATCTGGCGAATCCTTAGGACGTCACCAATAACCTGGAAAGAACAATACAAGAAAATCAATACGAAGATAAAATATAGCACAAAACAGCTATTTCCATCACAAAAATATAATAAGCCATTCAATCATTTAACCAATAAGCAGCTGCTGTTTTCAAGAGCAGGAAAAAAATAGCTATAACCCAAACCCTAAAATCTAAGATACTATCGGAAGGAAAGATAAAAACACTGGCAATCCAGTCAATAATGATGCGGGTGCAGCTTCAACCCACACGACTGTGGGAAAATCCCAGACGAGGGTGCGGGAAGACCACGGATGCAGGCCCCGACTGGACTGGGCAGCCAATATAGGGGGCGGCAATGCTGCCAGCCCCCTTCCCACCTTCAATTTCTATGATTTCTTTATGAGAGCTTTCCTTTTCTGCTTTTCCTTTGTGAGAATCTTTAAATTGCTGTTTTCTGGATTTAGGGTTTAGTTATTGCTGCTTTAAGATTTCAGGTTCCTATGTGAAGTCATTTTTCCCCATTCTAGGGTTGTATCCTCAGAGGCGATGGTGCTTCGGCTATATCTATCCTTTTTCTACCCGTCCCTGTGCTTCCATATCGGTCCCTGGTCGCCTTACCTTGTTGTCGTCATCCAGAACAGAAAGCAATTGCTGTATTCCAACAGTTTTCTGCCTCCACCCTTGCTTCCACAGCATAGAAGAGCAAGGATCTACTATATTTCTGCAGCTTCCAGCCTTCCCTACCCCCTCCAGCTTGCTGCCACCACCCCGGACAGCAACCCCACTGCTACACACGCTGCTAACTGACTCTCCCTTGCAACCGCCACCTTCATAACCCTAACCAATCGCCACCACCACCTTAAATCCAACCCTATTTTGAGTTTGTGTGTCGTGCTTGTTGTAATTTCATTTTCAGTGCGCGAGTTGTAACCGCTTATTTACATTCAATAATAATAGTCTTTTTCTATTATGGTTTGGATTAATACCGATATCATTTAGGATCAGAGCTGGTCTAATCCTATTCCTATCCTAGGGTTTCCTAGCATCAACCTATTCCCCAAACCATAGCCCCAAATCCCAAATCTCTATTGTTGATTTTCAAAATAAGTAAATCTAAACTACTCTGCGCCCGCCATCAATTGCATAAACCCCCTCCTACCACCACCAAATAATTTTCTTTCCACAACCCAAACCCTAACCCCACAAAAAATTTTTCTTTCCTATTCCTTAATCCCTAGTCATATCACCAAGGAGAAATATGTCTGAATCTACCCAGGAAGAGATATGGCGAGAGCTCTGTCACCTTTAACAGAGGCTTGCGGAAATTGAAGAGTTAACACAATAAAAGGTTACCCTCGACCGAGATCTGGAGAGGCGAAGGGAAGAAGATCCAAATACCTTCCATAGGGATAATTTCAGCGATGAAGAAGACAGACCAAGGCCTTTCAGAATCCAGTATCAAAGAAGTCCAAGAGAGGGATATTTGAATCCCTCCCAAAGGGAGAATTTCCGAGAGATGTCATTTGAAGGACACAAAAACAACGAAATCAAGGTGAATTTACCGAAGTTTGAGGGAGGCATGGATCCAAATGAATTCATTGATTGATTGCAAGTTGTTGAGCAGATATTCGAGTATAAAAATGTGTCAGAAGATAAGTTGGTCAAACTAGCTACTATTAAGATGAAGAAGAGTGCTTCCATATGGTGAGAGAACATACAGTGGAAAAGAAAACGTGAAGGAAATGATAAGATTGCCAAGTGGGAGAAAATGAAAAAAGCCATTCAGAAGAAATATCTTCACCCTCATTACCATCAGGACATGTTTCTGAAGCTCCACAATCTGCAACAGTGATATCTTTCAGTGGAGGAGTTCACAGCCCAGTTCGACCACTTACAGCTGAAGTGCGCATTGAGAGAACCAGAGGAGTATACCGTAGCTAGATACCTTGGGGATTTGAAGCATACTATTTGCAATGTGGTGCAACTGCAGTCGTACTGGATGCTTGGGGATGTCTAGACGCTAGTCTTGAAGGTGGAGAGATTGCAGAAGCAGAGCAGCAACAAACATCCTTTAGGCAGCAACTTTCAAGCGGGTAGTCACCCATAATTATCACGACTGACAAGGGTACGTCAAGAGAAAATAGCAAGCCCGAACAAGGGAATGACACTCAGGATGAGAGCAGGAAGAAACAAGAGCAAGGTAGCTCCTCCAATATTGTACCGGCCAGGAAGTGTTTTAGATGTCACGATTACGGCCACATAGCCTCGAGCTGTCCCATGAGCAGAGTATTCACACTTATTGATCAGGGCTTTGTGCAAAAGGTTAGCGACCATGAGAAGGTTAAAGAATAGGGTGAGGTGTACCAATTTTCACCAGATGAAAGAGAGGCACTCGTAATTCGACGAGCCCTGCATAATGAGGACACGAGGGATCTGTAGTGGCTTGGCCACAACATTTTCTACACCAGCTGCACCGCAAACAAAAATGTATGCAGTCTTATCATCGACGGCGGGAGCAACAAGAACATGAAATTGACTTAGACATTAGAGAAATTGAGACTCAAAACTCAGAGGCACTCCCGACCGTACTCACTGATGTGGCTAAAGGAGAAGTGAATCCGCATTGACTGAAGATGTTTAATAGAGTTCTCGATGGGAGGCCAGCTGCGGGACCAAGACTGGTGTGACGTGCTCCCAATGGATGTCTGCCACCTCTTGTTGGGACGATCATGGCAGTTTGACTGGAGGCCCAGCACGATGAATTCAAAAACACATACAAATTTACCAAGGAGGTGAAACACATCATTCTACTCCCTTCAACAAAGCTCGAGATCACTGGAACTCATACCAACAGAGCGACGTCAGTGGGGCCAACTCTAATGACGACACAGAATGAGAGGACTGAGACACCGACTTCAGACATGGGACAATTGCACCAGAGAAGATGTCAGGATCTCGCAGTCGACACTATACCACCAACTCCACCAGGCATGAAGTTTCAAGTTGCTCTCGCGGCACATCTGTAGGGCTTGACCATGGGTTACCTTGGGAGGATTCAACAATACAGTTTCTGGAGCGCTGATCGATGGGGACATGGGCGCACAAGTGATGCCTACTTCATCGATGCTCTGGCTGATAGTGGGACCCAACTGCCGCCAGGATTAGAGAGAAGGAACCAGAAGCATCAATGAATGAGGTCGAAGCTCTCCCAACCAGGGAAACTGACGTGGGTGAGGTAGTTTCCCACACAGATGAGGGAAACAAAGCCAGCCGATTGATGGCTGGTATAGGGGACTAGGTCCATACATCCAAAGTGTCGAGCGACATCAAGCGGCCCGTGTGGCTTCCCTTTCACGTCACCCGCTTGAATCGAGCAGCGTTTGGGGAAAGCGGCATTGCCGCCTGCCCTTTTCTCCTCCTTCCTTTCTCTTCGTATTTCCTTTCTTGTTTCCCACCTAATTAGGCTTATTTAAATACTTGCTTTCTGAGTTTAGAGTTACGTTTTGATGTGTTTGCTTGTCATATTTCCAATGTGGAGTCTTCTTCCCTTTTGTAGGGTTGTATTCGAGAAGGTGATGGTGCTCTGGCTGTATCCTACTTCGAGGTGGTGACGTATCTTCCCATTTTATCTTACCTAACTTGCCTCAACTACTTCCCTTAACACCGACCACTCCAACCCTTCCCCAACCGCCTCCAAACCACTTTCCAACCATCCAACCTACTGTCCAAACCCTCCAAGCCTGCTATCCAGCCCCGCAACCTGTTGTCTAGTAAGCGAACCAGCTGTCCTGACTCCCGTTACATGCTGTCCAACCTTTCCGCCATCCTCCCTCACTTCCCCAACCTTCCATACTACCCTACAACCCTTCCCCCTTCCCCCTTGACACCATCACCATCCTCGGATCTTCTCTTTCGGTCGTAATCGGGGATTGGATTGTTATTGTTTCCCCCTTTCCAATTTGTGCCGTGTTGTAACCCTATTTCTAAATTAAAAAGTTTGCTTTCGTGTTTCTGCTAAATTCAACCTAATTCCGGCATCAAGGGAGGAAGCAAATGGCACAATCATTCGCCACTTCATAAATAAACAATAAACTAAAATTTAACATATGGAGCATGCTACTTCTCAAACAAATTGAAAAATCCATTCATCATATATACACAGTTTTCATTTTCTTATAAAACTAAACCGAAACATTTTTATCCACTATATATGATGTGCATGCATTTTCACGCTTTCAGAGTAATACTGCCAATAACAAGATTCAAACCTGAATTAGATAATCTACATTCACTTAGTTTTGCAATAAATAGGCAACACAAGCATTCAGGTTAACTTATGTTGCGTATTCCGGACATTGTGAAATAAATGTAGCTCCATTTTTTTTTGGTTAGAACGAATGTAGCTTATGAAGGCTTACAGTTCCTGCAGTAGAATAATGGGAGCCATAGTGGAACTTGGGTATAACAGGATCGTCAAAACCAGAGTATCTCTCTTGGAACTTCTTCAACCTTTCTGGATTTAATGCACCAACAGGCTGCAATTCATAGCGCCCATTAATCAAGTTAGTAATAATTGATCATATAAAAGTAGAATTAAATAATGGTTTCTACCTTTGAGAGATCTCGATACGAGGAAGGATCACTAAGATCTAATGTCTTTGAAGAGTAATCAGCTAAGATCCATGGGAAAACCGGGTACTGCAAACAGTTATTTCACTAGTTGGTAAATCACTGTACCATATAGAAGAAATAACACCGCCATAATGCTCACTCATTAATCAAAAGGACACAAACCTGCGTAATGTCATTGTAACTGCGTCCAGCCATTGTGTTCAGTTCCATAAGATACTCAAAATTACTAATCTACATGAAAAAAATATCAATGCCAAAGAGATGACAATAGAGTGTGATACAAGAATGATAAAATATCATGAAGTTTACCTCCCACCGAGCCCACTTCTCCATAAGCTGGCTCCTCTTAAATAGTTGGTCAGGCCTCTGCAATAAGAAAATGAAGGAAAGTGAGACGTAATTTAAAGTAAAATTATGCCGGTACAGGACTTTTCCAACCTGTGTTGCCAAATAAATGTTGCCCAAATGAGGAGGTTGTGCTTGAACAATAGCACGATAGGCATCCTTACGTACTTCAGTGGACTGAAATATATATTTCCAGCGAAATTTTGGTGGAAATAGTTAGCCAACAAACAAAAACCAGGAAGAAAATGAATAGATTATTAATTCACATTAGTTTACCCCAAAATCAAAGAAGAAGTTAGTCCGATCAACAATAAACAATTCTAAAGCACTTTTCCTAAGCAGATACCTGCGCATATGACAGACAATGAATGCACAGCGTTAGACAATCTGAAATGCTGAACTAGTAACAGTGAGGGCTCCAGCATTGGACAATTTTGAAATAGCAATACTGCTTAATAAAATGGCTCATCAGAAACCATTCCCCGAAGTTTTACATAACACACACACCCCCC